GCGTGTGGGTGGGGGGGGGGGGGGGGTTGGTCCAAATTTGGCTGTGTATCTTGAATATGAGAACAAACTCATGCATCCCCTCATGCTGTTCAGTCCTGTTTTTCTAAGAAGAGAAGGTGGAACCCAATAGTTAATCTAAGAATCTAAACAAATAGAAGTCTTATACTGCACCTGAAAGTCACAAGTATTGTGGTTTTACTAGTATTTGCTAGGAGCAGTTTCTAGAGCTAGAAGATCCCAGCTGAAAAGGCTTTGCTCCATGCAGTAGCTTCAAGATCAGTGCCCTTGACAGCGTCCTAGGCATGATGCAATGGGACAGGGTGGGCAACCTGGTTTCTGATAGCTGGAACCTAGATAATTGTGATGGTTAATAACTATAGAAGCTGACCATGTAGTTACCACCAACGTGAACATACCTATAGTTCCAGTAAGTCAGTAGTGCCAAAAAACTTTCTCAACAAAAAGCAAATAGGTTGCTCTTGGGTGAAAGAGGAAAAAAGATTTAATTCTGAAAATAGAAGGTCTGAATTGGTTTATAATGTCAAACTTATAGATGCCATGTGAATCTGAATTTATTTTTCTGAGCTTAATACGAGAAGGTGTAGGATAGGTTTGTTTTAATGCCATTATCCTCCTTGCCTTCAAATCCTGCCTTAAATCATACTTCTTCTTTAAAACTTGTTCTTCCATTTGATTGTTCCCTTTCCCTGATTAGTCTAGTGTTCTCACTTGCACTGATCCTCTTATCACATGTTTTGTGTCAATTTGCCATTGACTACAAGCTACATAGGTGCAGGATTTTTTCCCATGCATCAGGTTGCTCAGACAGTATTAAAACTTAGGTCCCTGAATTAAAAGTTCATTCTGTGTTCCATAATGATCTTCACTGACATGATTACACTGGTAATCTCTCTCTCTCCTTTTTTTATTCTTTCTTTTTTAACATGTCTTATGCTGTCTTTTATACGTTAAATAATGCTTTACTGTCTGATTAGTTGGGTTACCTGACAGAGTGAATGAATGAGATCGGTTATAATTTAAGTACAGTTTTTCTGTTGGTGCAAAATTTTATTTGGGTAGCATTTCATTAGTGCAGGGATTTGACTCCAAAAAAATCTTATACTGGGTTGTTTCTGAAGGATCTTTAATATTTAGATAATTAAATCTTTGTTGAAAGCTTCCATGTAGGCTTTCTTAAAATTTTCAGAAAAAATTGTTGGCAAGGTTGGGAGAGAATAATACTAAATATTCAGTTTCTGTTAACCTGAAGAGCATGGAAGTACATTTTATATGTGATTGGTATGGATTGCATATTTTTCTTCCACTACAATAAAATGTCACATTAAATATCTTTTTATGCAGGAAATTTTAGGGTTCAGAAACAGGTGGGGAACTAACATAATGATTTAGCATATGGCATAAATTGTGTGATTATTTTTATTCAAATTTTTTTTTCCCAAAAAGCATAGGTAGAGATGCTGTACAAATGCATTTAAATTCTGAAATGAATGTAACAATAGATAAAGGCCTCTTGCAATATAAGTATAGTGTGTATTACATGACATTTATAAATGGCTGTTAGAATTCCTTGAGTGGATAGCAGCCAAGGAACCAGGAGACTTAATTCAGTACTACAGTAACTTTCTTTTCCATTTGATTGTTCCCTTCCCATAGAAATCAGTTTGACTATGCAGCACACCAATCAAAAAATCACAGTGTAGAATTGTTCAACTGTTGTAACAGTAAGCCATACAGACTCCTTGCTAAAAAAGCAGTTTGTTTACGTTGCACTACATGTCAGGATGGTGGGATTCTGTTTAATTTTTTTAATTAAAGAAAGTGTTGTATGTGTCTTCTGTAGTACTGCTTGCCAGGGTAAGGATTTTTATGCAATATATTGCGTATTGAAAAGTATTTGTAAACAATATATTCCGACAGTCATTGTTCTTTTAACTACTGTAACTGTACTGTAACAGGGTCAGTCATTGTTACTGTGATTTTAAATCTTCTGTAGCTGAAGATAATGTAAGCCAACAAGGAGACAAATTTAAAAAAACAGACATTTTGCATTTGCTGTCCCTGCTTTTGTAAATAAGCCCTTTTTGTGGAGCTTTCATTGTGGTCAGGATGCATGCTAACACCTGGTTTTCTACTGCTCCATATAATGTATCTTTTAATTTTTTCCCTGCGTATTTCTTCAATATATGCTGTTTAGGAGCAAGAGTTCATCTGGACGATGCAGAAATCAGATTATCCAGAAGAGGGCAGCCTCAAACAGAAGTGGATAAGTAAGTGTATCCCAGTGTGTGATGCTAAAATGACAAGATACTTAGTTATGAGAGATTATTTTTTCTTAGAGAAATAAAAACTATAACAATTAATTTTTAATATTTGAAATAATCTAGGGTGAGGTTTTTAAAGAATTAGGCATCCACACCTGATATTTTTCAGTAGGAATACAGCACCAAACTCCTTCCCTGTATAAAGATGTATTAAGGAGTACTATAATTAGGGTACTCTCAGAAATATTGTGTTTTATCATTCCAAACTCTCACATGTACAAGCTTTAGACATTTTGCTGGAAGTTTTCATAGTAGCAAAGATGCATTGCAGTCTTTGCATCGCAGTATTTAGTGGTAGGTTTTGCTACCACTTGCTTTAAAGTGCCATGATTCTCAGGGCCTTGTTATACATTACTTTTAGGCAGCTCCTGGGGCTCTTAACCCCTGAATTGTCTGCACATTGACACCTTTAAATGGCTTAAAGTTACACCACTCCAGGGCAGAATTATCTATGATCTGCATAACCCAAATCCTGTTCCATTAACATGTGGGCACTCCCTACAGATGTGCTGCCCAAGATAAAGTCCTCCAGAAGGCCCTCCTCCCCCCCACTTCTGTGTAGACACCGTGCCCCCCTGATTAGCCTGCTACTACACAGGTGCTATGTGGCAAAGGCTGCAGCACTCTTCCCCAGCCACCATCTTCATCCCTGCAGGTCCCTCTCAGCATGAGCCGAAAGGTGACTGCAGCACCTCATGTTTTGCCTACCAGGCTTCCCATGGTCCGTACCATCCCTGGCTCCCATAAGTTTCTATCCACCCAGCATGCTCCATAGCCCTTCCTTGCCCTCCCTTCCATCAGTGCTGACCCAGCCTTCTCTTAACCCAAAACTGAGCATGATACAGCCCTGAGGTTTTAATGAGAGCTCATCTGAGCCGCTCCCCTCCTCACAACACACAAACCTGGCAACTGCCAAACCTACCTCTACCAACCCTTTCTGAGACCCCCTCCCCCCTCATTCTGCCAAGTGCCACCTGCACTGATCAGAGACAGGGCAGGAAGCTATTTTTGCTCAAGTTTCCCCTCTCAGCTGGTGGTCTGGGCAAGCATCAGCAATGTCCAACCTGACCAGGAGACTGAGGCACCTGGCCAAAGCAGGCAGCACTGCACATTTGGAGTCAGCCAGGCTCAAGAAATTCCTGTGTGCCCTGTGAACTGCGATTTGATAAGGGGAAAAATATGTTGTCCCCTGCTTCTCATCCCTGGACGTGGGGAGGGGGTGAGGAGGGAAAGGAAGGAGAGAAGGAGGTCTAGATTCATGCTAGAGATCAGGGAGCCTGGGCTAAGTAGCTGCTGCTTCCCCAGGGATCTGTGCTGGGAAAAGATCTTCATTAAAAACTGCTTTGTGCCCAGCCCCAGAGGGACTTTTCTGATGAATGGAACCAGCCCCCTAGAGTAGCCCCAGGCTCTGACAACACCAGCTCCTTAGCCAAAGGATTCAATGATGGAGAGAGACCTGGGGAAAGTGCTGGAGATGTGCAGGACAGAGACTGCACACACAACCCCTCTGTGCCCATTTGTACTCCCCAGGAGTCTAAGAGCTGATCCATCTATGGGAGAGCAGTAGTAGCTTCCCTGGCAGCAGGCTACCTCCACCTGGCAGCAGCTGTCAGTTCTCACCATACTGCATGTGGATCAGATGCATGAAGCAGGGTCCAGCTGGAGTCGTGGATCTTGGAGCTCTTTGCCTCTCAGAAGAGGGAGGGAGTGAGCTGCAGCCTTAGAAGCATAGAGGAGTAGGGCTGGTAGGGACCTTGCTGATCACCAGGCCTCTAGCAATAAGTCACAGCTTTGCAGGTAGTGGAAAGTCAGAGAAGGTTTCTAGATTAAAGGTGTGACTGAGCCGCACAAATATTGATCATGCTAGCTTTGAGTTTGGAGTGAAGTACAACATGTAACAAAACCCTGATTTTGAATGCATGCTTGTTTTACTAAAATTTTCTCTGCATTTGCATGTACATTTCCTGCTACAACTGTAACTGCATTTCCATTTACAACTGTACAAAATTCCTGTAGGACTTTTGTAATGTCTGATTCAGCAAAGCATTTAACCTTAAAGGTCTTCAACTTAGGTGCCTGTTTAAGTGCCTTGCCGAACAGGAATGGACATAAAAAAAGAAGTGTTTAAGAGCTTTGCTGAATTGGAGCCAGAATTAGAAAAATATAATATAGGCATTGTGGGAGTGGTGATTCATGTGATTAACATTGCCTGACCCCTCCCATTATGGGGCCCTATTTTCCACTTCTTATAACTTTGTTAAACTCTTATTGGGCTGACATTTTCTGTGTATCTGCTTAAAGCTGAATTTCTTGAAAATTGTAGCTGAAAGGAGCAGCCAGTTCCAGGAATTAAGCCAAGGAAAAACATATATCTTGCCTACATTGAATGCTGACAAACATATTTCTTGAAATGCTCTATTACCCCTGTTTTGGGCATGGGCTACAAAATTAGCAAAGGGTTAGCTTTTGTATCAGGGATGTATCATTTACCATTCCTGGAAAAAAAAATCTGCTTAAATTTGACTAAGTTTAAGCATTTTAGAAATTGCTGTTTGCATTCCCTCAATAGAGATTTCTTTAAGCTTCAACTTGTAAAACAGCTAGACTGAAGATTCCCTCATCCTTGAGCATGTACAGCTACTAGTGGCGACAAAACCGCACCTGTACCTGGAAAAAGGCAAATATAGACTCATCTTTAAGAAAGGGAAGGAGGCAGCTCTGGGGAATTACAGACTGGTCAGTCTGACCTCGATACCTGGAAAGATCATGGAGCAGGTCCTCAAGGAACTGATTGCAAAGCACCTGGAGGAGAACAAGGTGATTGGGGACAGCCAGCATGAATTTGCAAGTCATGCCTGACCAATCTGATTTCCTTCGATAATAAGGTGATAGGCTCTGTGGGTGCAGGGGAAGCAGTGGATGTGACATACCTTGACTTTAGAAAGGATTTTGACACTGTCTGTCAGGACATTAACAAGCTAAGGAAATACAGACTAGATAAAAGTTCTAGGTAAGATAAGTACATAATTGGTTGGATCATCGCGAGGAACTTTTTGGATAAAGAGACTAGGTCTGGGAATTGTTGGGGAGGAGAGCTTGGATGCAGGAAGCATTTGGCTGAAAGGGTCTGACAGTGAGAGCTGAGGAGGTGGTGAGTGAGACAGACTGGTTGGACAAAGTGACTAGGGGTATTCGTTGGGGGACGAGGATGCAGTGGACAATGAGAACCATGTGCCATGCCCTGGATCAGCCCAGATAAGCACTAAGGGGCCCAATAGACATCAGGACAGGGGTGTATCAAGGGCACCTATTGTGGGGCTTAAATGTCTCTGCACTAATGCTAGGAACATGAGGAACAATCGCACTCCTGCTTGCAAGCAACAACTTCAACCTGGTTGGGCTAACTGAAACCTGGTGGGATCCTACTCACGATTTGGCAGTAGGCATTGAAGGTTATAGGTTGCACAGATGGGATGGAGTGGGGAAAAAAGTGGAGTGGTGTTGCTCTCTATGTTAAGGAGCAATATACATCTTCTATAATCAAGATGGGATCAGAGGAGGGCCAAACTGAGGTACTGCAGGTTAGGATACAAGGGGGTCGAGGGGAAAGGGACTTGGTAGTGTGGGTCTACTATAGACTGCCACACCAGGAGGATGAGCTAGACTTGGAATTCTCTGGGCAGCTCTCAGAGGCTGTACGCTCAAGAGTTACGGTTGTCATCGGTGACCTAAACTACCCTTACATCTGCTGGGAGGATCAGTCAGCCAGAACTAATTGCTCATGTAGGTTCTTAACCTGCATACAGGACCTCCACCTAATGCAGGATGTATACAATCCCACTAGGGAGAATGCCTTGCTGGACTTGGTGCTGGCTATGGGGGATGACCTGGTGGGGGTTCTGCAGGTACAAGGCAACCTAGGTGATAGTGACCATCAATTGATAGAATTCACTATCTGGTGAAGGGTGGGAAAAGTAACCAGCAAGGCAGAAGTGCTAGACTTCAGAAAGGCTGACTTCAGTGTGCTTAGGAGATTAGTGGGGCATTAAATCTCAAGAGCATTGACCAAATGGGGGTCCAGAAAGGGTGGTCATTCCTCAAGAAAGTGATCCTTTGGGCACAGAAGGCAGCAATCCCAGTGCATATAAAGGGGGGCAAAGGGGCCAAGAAACCCTCCTGGATAAACAGGGAAATACAGGAAAGCCTAAGGGCAAAAAAAGGGACATACAGGCTATGAAAGCAGGGGGTAGCTACCAAGGAGGAGTATACCTCCTTGACTCGCACTTGCAGGGAATCAGTTAGGAAGGCCAAAGCAGCATTAGAGCTCAGGCTGGCAACAAAAAATAAGGACAACAAAAAGTCCTTCAGGTATATAGGGAGCAAAAAGAAGGCACAGGGCAGCATAGGACCCCTACAGGATAGACAGGGGCAGTTGGTGACAGATAGGAGGGACAAAGCAGAGCTCTTCAGTGAGTTTTTTGCCTCTATATTCTTGAACTCGGATCTAGACAAATTTCCCAAATGCATTACCAACAGAAGCAGGAGAAATACCAGCCCACCAACTGTCAGCGCTGACCTAGTACAGAGACACTTGGGCTGGATATGTTTAAACCAGTGGGTCCGGATGAGTTCCATCCAAGGGTGCTGAAAGAATTAGCCAGTGTCATAGCAGAGCCACTGGCATGACTGTTTGAGCACTCTTGGTGCTCAGGTGAGGTCCCAGAGGACTGGAAAAGGGCCAATGTGTGGTCTTTATTTTCAAGAAGAGGAGGAAGGAGGATCTGGGTAATTATAGACCAGTTAGTTTCACCTCTATCCTTGGGAAAACCCTTGAAAAAATTATCAACAATCACATTTGTAGGAGTAATATAATGCTGAAGGGCAACCAGCATGGGTTCATAGCAGGTAGATCCTGCCTGACTAACCTTGTTTCTTTCTATGACCAG